TTAAAGAGGACTCAATATTCTTAGCAATAGTTTTTTATAGTCACCGCCCGTATCGTCGGCGATATCATCGGTTAGTTTGCGGTTATATTTCTTTTTGTAGGCGTCTTTGATATCTTCCAAATCAATCTATTTTATAAAAATAATTTTTTTAAAAAAATTAATATATAGTTTATTTTGTTAGAGATAAATAAAAAGGCTATTTTAGTATTTAATTTCAAATAAAATATTTATTTATTTTTTAAAAACAAAATTATTATTACCTCCGATCTTGAGATTAATATTCTGGTAATGGTTTCGTCATCGGTTCCCATACCATGAATGCATGAATACAGTCGTACGGCATAATAGTAGGCAATATTGTTGGCAATCATAACTAAAATATAAAAAAAAATTTGTTTTTTAATTGATTCGATAAAATAGATAAATAATATTTTTTTTTTTAAATATAGTTTTTTATTTGTGTAATAATAATCAATATTGAAATACCAATGCCGTTGAATACAGTGAGTAAATCACCAGAAAATTCATTAGCAATTGCCGTCTCTATTGGATGACCGGCCAGTTTGCTATACTGGCTGAATATTGCCGACAATTGCGGAAAACTATAGCCACATAGTATACGTAGAAACTGGTCCTCATCGGTGCCCAATATTTTCATACCAGACTTCAGATATATATATATATATATATATAGATATATAGTTATATATAATTAATATTTAATTTATATATATATATAAAATAATTTTTTTTAGTAATACATCTAATAATAGTTTGGCCTCTTTTGCCGACAATTCGCCGTCAATATCGGTTGATTCGGATCGGTTGGCCGTCAACAGTGACCGGAGGACACGTTGAAAATCGCCCGAAAATTGATTAGCAATAACTATATCCAGATCTTCATTATATTCTTGAAATATATTAATTAATTAATTTAAAACAAAACAAACCAAAAATTAATTAATTAGTAATCAATTAAAAAATAAGTCATAATTTTCTAGATTTTCTATTAAATTAATTAAATAATAATAATAATTAAAAAAAATAATCATTACTTTCGGCATATCGTTGTTTAATATCCTTAATATCCCAGTTATGATAAGTAATCAATATATCGATAATACAATTGACATTAAGATCTTTCTATTAATGTATAAATTAAAAATAAATTATTTTTATATTTATATAATTTTAATTTTTTTAAACCTTAATTGCATTGTATAGACAATCGACCAGATATTGATAGTTAGGGACAAGTAGTCCCAGACATGTGTCCTCAAACATACCGCCCAAATCTTTTTTAAGATCATCGGCCAGATCTCGGCCATACATTGTCTTAAATTTTTGTTTGATATCCTGTCTCTGGGAATTGGTATGTGTTGTCAACTATAATATATTAATATATATGTAGAAAAATATGGCGACAATAATATAATTATATATTAATATATATATATAAATATATATAAAAATATGGCGACAATAATATAATTATATATTAATATATATTATAAAATTAATTATTAGAAATAATGAAATGTATTTTTATATATATAAATAGTAAAAATAATATTGAAATTTATTTTCTAAATAGATAGCTAAATATTATTATTATTTTTAATATTTTGTTTATAAATGTATAAAATTATATTTATCTAAAAAAAATTATTAATAAAAATTTTTATGTAATAATAATAATAATATATTATTTTATATTATTTTGTTGTTGTTTTATTATTGACTTTAATTTTTTGTTTTGTTTTTTTTATTTGTCAAACAAAACATTTTTAATATACTAAGTTAATGTCAATAAAATGTTTGTATTGTACAGTATTTATATAGACATAAATTATTATATAAGTAATAACTTATTGAACATTGATATATAATATATATATATATTATTTTTATTTATATATATATATTTACAGTAATATTACAGTAGTTGTTAATATAGTAAAAAAAAATAAGCTATAGTTTATATAATTATATAAAATTGCTTTAATTTGTTGGAAAGTTAGCAACAAAAACAAAATAATTAGAAATTATTATTTATTTTTATTATCAAAAAATAAAATAGTTTTTAATGTCTAATATTTTATTAGTTTATATTTTTTTTCATTATCAAATATATATTTATTTTTTAAATATATATATATATAAAGTTATAAATTATAATTTAAGTTTTTTACCTATTTCTACTAACTATTTAATTATATATATTATAATATATAATTATGTTTGCAATAATAAAAACACAATAAATAATCGATACTATGCTTATAGTATTGCATAACAAATATATTTATAAATAGTTAGATATATATATATATATAATACATGTTTGTATAATACATAAACAAAACACATACCACTTCAATGATGGCTCTTTCATCTGTACCTAAAATATAATATATTATATTATATACATATATATATATTATAATAGTATAGTTGTATTGAAAATAAATAATTTATATAAAAAAATTTTTAATTAATTAATTTATAATTTTTAAATATTTAATTAATTAATTAATTAATTACCGATTCCTTTGATGGCTTTCTGTATTTTGGCGGCCATTCGCTCGGCATTAAAGCTGCCCGACGGCCGGATTGTCGGCTTCATTGATATGATATTAATAATAATAATAATTAAATATAATTAAATATAAATAATTTATTATTAATACTAGTAATAGTATATCGATATATAAAAATTATTATAAAATACTAATAAAATTAATATTTAAATATTTTTCCACATATATATAAAATATGTAAATTATATAACATATATATATATATTTATTATTTAAATATTATTTCATATATATATATATAATATGTAAATTATATAACATATTATATACAGTATTATTATTAATATTATTATTTAATTGAATACTTACTGTGCCATCCATTTATTGGTTGATTGATTTATTTTAATTGATTTTTTTGTTACTGTATTTAATTCACAAAAAAATAATAATTATAATATTTAAAACAATTACTAGTAATATTGATCTGAAAAATAATCAAAAAAAAAAAATATAAATAGTTTTTTTAGAGTAAAAAAAAGTATTGATATTTGTGTGTTACACGTGTTATTATACTAGTCTATAATAATATGATTTTTTTATATACATAGTATATATATATATATACTGTAACTGAAACATACTGTATTATGTGTGTGTGTGTGTGTGTTTGATGGGAACAGTTGGATAATGGGCACAGACCTACTTATTAAATTATTTTATATATATATATAATTTCAATCATCTCTATGACAACCATTTGGTTTAAAAATTTTTATATATATATATATATATATATATTTATTATTAGTTGATCATTGAATTTGATTGTCTGTATCTATCAATTACATGAGTTTTTTTATATAGTATCTATTGGATGGTTAAAACAGTAAACGATTATTATATGTATATATACTGTATATAAGTTTTATATATAATATTATACAGTATATTATATACATTATATATATATATATATATATATATATATGTAAACGAAAAAAATTGATATCTATTTTATATATCTTTTTTTTTAAAAAAAACTATTAATAGTTTCTTAATATTTTTATATTTTAACAAAAATATTATTCAATTAGTTTATTATACATATCTATTGAGAGATAAATATAAGTTTATTTGACTAAAATAAAATTAGTCTAGAATTTACTAAAATTAAAAAAATATATATGAAAAAATATAATTATTTGTTTTGAAATAATAATAATAATAAAATTATAAATTTATTAGCACTAAAATTCATATAAAAAAAATAATAATAATAATTTAAATAATGATATTTATAAATATTATACAATAAATACAATACACGATATATTTTTTATTTATAATTATTATCATTAATAGCTGCAAATAAGTCATTAAATTACAATTTTATTTATTTTTTATGAGTTGTTTTCCATATATATATATATAATAAAATAGTATTTTTTTAAACATTCATGTTATATATAAAATACAATACAATATAATATTTTTTTAAATATGATATTAACGATCAATTAAACTATATAATTTTTCAATAATAATAATAAAATAAATTTGCATAATATATTAAGTATATTTTTCTTATAGATTTTATTTTATTTTTTGGTTATATTTATAGATTTTTATATCTATCATATTATATATCAATATATACAGTAGTAGTAGTAGTAGTAGTTTTAATAATATAATTTTCAAATGTTTCAAAAAATAATAATAATAATATCTAAATATTTTAAATTATAACAAAATAAATACTAACAGAAAATAATTTTCAAAAAATACTGTACTATTAATAGCTACAAATTTAATAATAATTAATTATATAAGTTTATACTATTTATATACAGTATTAATTAGCTAAAAATTAATTATATAATATATATATATAATAAATTGAAATCTATATATATATATATATATATATATACTAATTAGTATATAACTTAAACAATAGTAAACATTTTGTTTTTGTTGTTTGTTTAAACCATTTTAGCAATAATCTAATAATTTGATAAATAATTGAAAACAAAAAAAAAACAAAATTTAATCTAAAATATGAAAATTTTATAGATATTTAAAAAATATATAATTATTTTTGTTTTGTTTTATTTTATAAATCCTTTCTCTAACAACAAAAAAACTAAACAACAAAAGCAATCAATTGCTATATAAATATATAAGTTATATATATATATACTATTTATATAAATATATTATAAATTATCACTTATTTTGTTGTTGGTTTTTCGATGAGTGGGGTAGGGAATGGGTAGGGGGTGTTTGAATGCCAATCATCAAAAAAAATAAAATAAAATAAAACATTTATATAATCTATGGATTTAATCTGATTTAACAACACTTAAGTCGTTTTGATTGTAATCAACGCTATAATTATTATCCGCCGATTCAGTTGTATTGTCGTCGATGTTGTCCACAGTATTTGAATTATTATTATTATTATAATTGTTTAGACCATTATTGTCATCAGTAGTAGTAGTAGTAGTAGTCACTAGTAGTTGATCGTCAGATACGACAACAACATCATCATTATCGGCAACAGCCGTAGTAGTAGTAGTAGTAGTGACTGTCTCTTCAGTTTCTTCATCATTGATCACTTGATGGTTGTCTTCTTCTTGTTCTTCTTCTCCTATATTATCATTAATTTCGACACCATTTTCATCGATTGTCTCCAAATTATTGCCACTGTTTCCAGTAGTAGTAGTAGTAGTATTCAAATCATTGTCTTCGTCATCGTTGTCGCCATCGGTGTTGTTGTTGTTGTTGTCAATCACCAGCAATTGATTATCATTACTACTACTACTACTACTACTACTTGTAGTGATATTATTGTCATCAGTTGATGGTTGTTGTTGTTGTGGTTTATCTTCAGATTTATCTTCTGTTTGATTATCTTTTTCTACCACTTCTTCTTCCACTTCTTCAGACGGTTTTGGTTGTTGCTGTTGTTGTTCTTCATTATTATCATTAGTTTTATTATTGTTGTCGCCGTTATTGGCATCAGTTGTTGTCGTGTCTTGTTTTTCACATTTATTATTATTATTATCTTCATTATCAACAATAATATTCTGATTATTATTATTATTATTATTAGTTTTTTCTTCACTATTATTATTATTATTATTAGTTTTTTCTTCACTATTATTATTATTATTATTATCCTTATTATCATTGTTTGGATCAGTAATTTGTTTTACTCCTTCTTCTTGTTGTTCTTCTTCCTCATCAGTATTGTCATCATCTGATGAGTCGTCGTTTTCGTCTTCAGAAAACTCGTCTAAAATAATAATAATAATAATATTTATATATATATATAACTATGTTATCAAATATAACATAAATTAAATATTTATATAATTGCTATATTATTTGACACTAAAATAATAATAATAATAATAATATTTAATAAATTATTCAATAGATTAAACTATATGTAATAATATTAAAGTATATTAATAATATATTAGACTATTAATATATATTTTTTTAAAAATAAATAATTAATTAATCAAAAAATAAATATACGAATATATAAATATTTTCATTATTATTAAAATAAATAATTTAAATTAATTATTTTTATATAAACAAAAATTATTTAGTTATATATTTATATTTTTGTTGCTATTTTATTATATGTGATTTAAAAAATTAATAATTTAAATAAATAATTTTTTAAAAATCATATAATAAAATAGCAACAAAAATATAAGAAAATAAATAACTAAATAATTATTTTTGTTTATTAAATGAAAAAAAAAATTATTACCATTTTTCGGATCGTAATTGAATTTATCGCTAATAACCGGATACTTGTTGTTGTTGTCATTGTTGTCGTCAATTGTTTTCTTGTTGTTGTCTGCAGTTGTTGTTGTTGTAGTTGTCTTACCATTAATTTTGACATTCTTGGAGTCAGTACATCCCATTGTGGATCAAATTAATCAATTAATAATAATAATAATAATAAGTAATAGATATATATATATATATATATAATGACAAACAAATTATWTATATATATATAAAAAACAATAAAAATTGTTCTTTGAATTACAAAATAAAAATCAACAGAATATTCTTTATTTACACAAAAAAAAATATTTTTTTATTATTTATTTAATTATTAATAACAATATTTATTTTGAGGAATATTATTATTATTACTATAAATATTACTATTAATATTATTTATTTTTTAAGATATATTTATTTAATATAAATATTGTATTACTAGTAATAAAAATTATTATTATTAATAATAATATATTTAATTAATATTTTTCTGTTAATACACACACAAAACGCGTATCTATTGAAGCATTGAATTATAATGAAACACAATAATACTAATATATATTGTATATACAGGTATAAAAATTATATATATATATATATATATATATATATATATATAACAATTATAATATAAATTTAATATATAATATTACAAATATTATATATCAATTTAATTGAGTACAGTATACTATATATCAATATATACCGGTATAACTTATATATATATATATATACTGTATATATTGTATAGTCAGCACTGGTAGTCGCTAAGAAACCAGGAGTGAAAATAATACTAACTTATAATAATAATAATAATAGTAAAAATAAATTATATTTGAGACATAAATGCCAGTCAATTGGTGGTAAAACTTATATATATATATATATATATATATATATATTATTTTTCAAAGTAATGTACTGTATTGTCAACACAACGACACAAAACATAACTTTTAAAAAAATATTAACTAAAATATATATATAATATTTTTTCCAGTACTACGACTACAGGAATATCGAGTGATTAGTTTTATTAAAATGACTTGTTTTTCATAATATATATATTTTATATATATATATATATATATGATATATATGTTTGTAATTTTATTTTATTAATTTATTTATTTATAATTGTGTATATAATAAATAAATAAAAATAATTAACATATTTATTCAACTATATAATAAACAAAAATATTTACTTAGGTTTATAATTGATTTTAATTTATATATATATATATATTTATTTATTTAGATTACATATATATATATATATATATATATATATATATTATACATGTATATTGTTTGATATATTTCTTTATATAAATTATAATATATTAAAATAATATCATTGAAGAAAACAAAAATAAAATAATTTAGTACATGTATAAATATTGTTTTTTTTGTAAAAATTTTATATCATATCATTAATAAAAAAAATTTTACACTGAAATTTTCGTAAACAAGCAATAAAAACTTAATTTCTATATATATATATATAATGAAAATTTCAACATAAAAAAACTAAAATGCTATAAATAATAAATAAAAATTCTAGATAAACAAATAACAAAAATTTAATTTATTATATCATATAATGTGTAATATATATTTTTTCATTATAAAATTATGCAATAAAACTAAAATTAAAAATAATAATAATAAAATTTCATATTTTTGTTAGGAAAATGTGATGTAATATTTTTTCAAATAATATATTTCACATAATTATAAATAATATAATATTTTAGTAATTAATTTCAATTTGAAAAAAATCTTTAATTACAAATCAATTACCTTTAAAAATATAATAAAACTTTATATGCAATTTCAAAAAAAGTAATATTTTTGTTAATAGATTTTTTAAATAGATTTATAGCAAGTGATAAATGTTATATATGTTTATATATATAMTRTATATATATATATATATTTGAATAAAATTTGAAATAATTTATAATATTTTAATACATAATTTTTTTGTTTCTAATATATTTTACCAAAAAATAAATAAAAATAAAACACTATATTAATACTATTTATTAAAACTATAGTATATTATAGTTATTTCCAAAAAATACATTATTTTTTAATATTAAGAAATTTTTATAATATATATATATATATATATATATATATATATATATATATATATATATATATATATATACTGTATAATCATTATATATTAGAGATCCAAAAAAATGTTAACCCCATTATCTCCTAAAATAAATTTCCCAAACATTTAGTTGCCGATCTTTACTGTAATTTTATTTTTATATTTTATTTTATATTTTTCATAACAAATGCGATTTCTATCGGAAAATTGATTTCTCAAACATACTACTTGTCCTCAATGTTAACACATGTGTAGCAAAACGTTTGCACTTTTTTTATAATTTTATTTGACTATACATTATATAATACAAACAACTACTATACAGTACATTAGGTTTTTTATTTATCAAAACGATTAATATATCATTTTTAAATATACACATACACTCTGTATCACTCACTCACTCACCCACTCATCCTCTAACCCGCTCACCCACTCATTCAACAATAAATAACTTACTATTCAATGTATATCTAACAAACAATCTCTCTCTCTCTCTCTCTCTCTCTCTCTCTCTCTCTCTCTCTCTCTCTCTCTCTAATAGCCATTCATTCATAACAACAACAAAATAACAAAACAATTGATAAAACACAGCAAAAAAAACTTTGTTTTTTATTCATTAAATAGGATTCAAAAAAATAAATATTATTTTAATTGTATGTTTCATTAAAATGAGCGAAAAATATACAAACAATTAAAATAATGTAAAATATTTTTAATGAATATTTTTATACATCATTTGTTTTTTGTTTCTAATATATTTCATCAAAAAAATAAAAATAAAACACAATATTAATACTATTTATTAAAACTATAGTATATTATAGTTATTTCCAAAAAAATACATTATGTTTTTTTAAATATTAAGTAATTTATATCTATATATATATATATAAATCAAATTTATTGGTGTTGTTGATGTAGTAGTGGTTGAGATTCAAAAAATAAAAATAAATATTATATTATCTATATATCTATATATATACAGTAAATATTTAAATGTCAATAATATTTTTTTTGTTTAATGATGTAATGAAACTTTTTATTATTTAAAATAAAAATTATATTATAAGTTATGAATGCGTTTTTTTTTTGGTTATCATTTTGTTCGTTAATATATTAATATTACTTTATATATAATATTTTGTAAAATCAAAAAAAATAAAAATTATTAAATAATAAAATAAAAAAAAAGTTTGGCAACAATTTTACGGTTGTAATTAAAAATTATTTAGATAACTATTGTATTATATAATATGTTTGTTTGTTTGTGTTGTTGTATAACATATTACTATAATATTAATTAATTTATTAATTTTTTTGACTAAACATTTGTCTGGTGCTGGTGTTTAGCTGAACCGGTAGTCAGCGGAACGTTAGCTTCGATGGACTTTCCATTAGATTTTTGTTTACGTTTCAATCGAAACAATACCCAAATGATGACTGCATTTCCGGCCAACAGTGCTATCATCAATAGTATCGGTATTAATATATCTAAATTTGATTTTGAATAATATATATATATATATTAATAAATTTTATTTTTATTGCCGGTTATAAATTAATTGTTAAATATATCACAATTAAATCAATCACTAACCAGAATAATAGCTGCCATAATAATCATCTGAATCCCTATCTAATGGGCCAGTGATGGGCGGGTTGTTTGAATCGTTGGACAATGTGAGCGATGAACTCATCGATAGCTCTTTAGTGGCTAATTATATACAATAGGATAACAAATTTATATTTAAAAAAAATTAAAAATAATAATTTTAGATAAAACTGTTTTATCAAATCAATAATTTTTTTTTTATATATGTATCTAATTATTAAAAATAAATAACAATACATACAAATACATTGAGATAGACTAGAGTTCCAATGGTTACCATATTCGCAGTATAATATCCGATCCGATTGTTTAGTATCTTCAAAAACATAGTCCAAACAGCAGCTATAGTATGCAAAACTACCGTTTCGGGTAATCAGATGACCGTTTCGCGGGGCCGGCAGTGTCGGACAGTTTTGTACTTTTTGTTTAGTATTTTGAAAAAACAAACAAATTTTTTTTTTAAAAAAACATTTAGACATAAAAAAAAGTTTAACAATAATATTGATATTTCAATAAATTTTTTTTTTAAATATATAATTCTATATGTATTGTAATTTTATATATATATATATATAATTATATAATAGTTAACTAAACGACAAACAAACAATCAAATAGTTAACTAATTAATTAATTAATTAAATTTAATTATTTAATTAAATTACATGAATATCTCAATAGTAGTCCACGAGTCGGTGAAAAACCATACGAATTGAAACTAATGGTTAGTTTATTTGATTTAGTCCTGTATTGGACTAAATTGGTTTTGACTTCACCGCATAGGCTCAACATTTGTGTCTGGGCTTCCATTAAAACCAACTGATCCGAGCACTTGTAGTTGACTTTTTTTCGTTGACTACTACTACTACTACTACTACTACCACCACTATAGCCATTGCCGCTCATTGATGAGGAGCTCTGGGGTCTAGGATCCGGCTCTTTGATGGCCACATCTAGTATATCGACTTGAACTACCTGTCCTTCACCGCCGGTAATCGTCCATGCACAATTTTCGTAGGGCGGGTAGTATTTAGGGTAACTGTGTGTGTGTTGATCAATAGCAATTAATCAAACAAATAAAAATTGTTATCACTTTATACTATCTATACTATCAATTGTTGATAATATGTTAACGACAGTAGTATTAGTAGGAGTAGTACTTACCCGGGATTTGCAATATAGCCATAATTTGCGGTAAAATTTTGGTTACAATACGGATGATATCTATCAGCTATTATGATATTATAGTAGATATATATATATAGAGAAAGATAAAAATATTATAATAGATTTAAAAAAAAATTATATTGTATTTAGTATATTGTTATTGAATTAAAAATTTTATTGTATTCTCTCTCTCTCTCTCTCTCTCTCTCTCTCTCTCTCTCTCTCTCTCTCTCTCTCTTTCTTTCTCTCTCATTGTTAATCAATATAAATACAATCAGATGTTGTAGTGATTATTAGATAGCATTGACAGATGTCTGTGTGTGTGTGTGTGTATGTGTAAAGTGTGGCCAAAAAAAAAACCTTTTTGTTGTTATGTTTTCTATTTATATTTTTATTAAATCAAAAAATACTTTAACAAATATTTGTTGTGTACATGATATTAGATATTCATATACTGTATAAAAGACTACTATAGAAGTATAGCACAGTATGTGTGTGTATGGGGTATAACCATCTGTTGGACCGACCCATCCATTTGGGTTGTATAGCATAGCATAGGCATACTGTAGAAGCCGTCACAATAGATTTCCTAACAATAGCTGTAATATTTTGGATATATATATATATAAGTACAGTATATACTGTATATTGTAGTCTTAATTCGCATTTCAATTCATAGACCAGAAAAATAGTCAATGAATTTGTTTAACAAAAAGCACTTATAATATGTATTTGTGTGTCCATTGAAGTACTCTCTCTCTCTCTCTCTCTCTCTCTCTCTCTCTCTCTCTCTCTCTCTCTCTCTCTCTCTCTCTCTCTCTCTCTGTCATTGTTAATCAAAGCATAGATTCAAACAATAATTTTTGTTTGATGTGTGTGTGTGTGTGTGTGTGTGTGTTATATAATATACTTATGGTTTGGGATTACAATCAAATTTTAAATTATATATAAAATATGATATAATTTTTATTTTTTAAATTTTATTTTATGTCGCTATTCATCATCGACTCTCTATTCATAACATTTTCTTTATACTGTATATATATATATATATATATATATATATATACAGCTGAGCTGACAATAATAGGTTATAATAATAATAATAATTTTCAACAATAAAAAAAATTTAATATAACAATAACTCAAGTGATTGCATACACACTTTGATATAAATTAAATTAAAATTAGTAAAAGCTATTGATTACCACAATATATATTTATATATTAGCAACAAATGTGAGTTTAGAGGGAAAAAAAGTGATAAAATATTTATTTTTTGATATATATATATATATATAAATTTTATTTTGATAAATATTTTTAAATATTTTTTAATTTATATATATATATTACCGGAAATACAGGTATATTTGATGATTACTGATGAGTCCTCTCCCATACATTTCTGGCTGTTATGATCTTTCAATAGACTAAAAGTACAGTTGGAAACACCCGAACATCTAATATATTAAATATATATAAAATTACAAAAAAAATAAAATTTAAATTAATTTAATTTAAATAAACACTGAATATTAATAAGTGTTTATATTATATTTATACAAAAAAAATTACAAAAAATAAAAATTAATTTAAATATTAATTTAAATATACACTAAATATTTATAAATAGTTGTTTAGTATATTATATGTAAATATATTTGTAATATACTATAATATCTATAAACTTAATTTAATTTTATAACAATTTTAATTTTTTTGTGTATGTTTTAATTTAATTATTATGTGAATATTTAGGAATAATAACTAATTTATATATATATATATATATTAAATTAATTTAATTAATTATAAATATTAATTTTTTGCATTTATAATACAAACATTTTGTTGTTGATAGCTATTTAAAGACCACACACACATTATAATAATAGATAATATCATATATATTTATAAGTTTATATATAATAAGTAATTGTTAAATAAGTAATAAGTGATTAATTTTTTTAAATAAATAATATCTGTTATCGTCCCACATAATATATACAACTACTAAATAAATATATATATAAAAAAATTTAATAATAATTATGAATAAACTTAAAAATTTAAATTTCATGTTTACATATACGGTGTTTGGGCTTAAGGCTATAACCAAATATAAAAAACAAACAAAATAATAATAATAATTAGTAGTAGTAGTAGTAGTAGTAGTAGTAGTAGTAGTAGTAGTAGTAGTAGTAGTAGTAGTAGTAGTAGTAGTAGTAGTAGTAGTAGTAATACAAGTATTATTATTAATAGTAGTAAAAGTATAAGTATTTTATATATATATACAACATATTAATAAAAATTATGAATAATAGTAACAATAATTTCAGTTATATATATATATATATATATATATATATATATTTTTGAATAACTTTTAAACGGTTAGAGATAATTTAATTCTATAAAATACATTTAAGAATATCATATCGACCACACTTAATATACACACAATCAATAAACTAGGATGACCAGATATACAAAATATCGGGACCAACAAAAGACACTATACTACAGGTCAAACTAAAATGGATAAATTTATTATGATTATGAAAATTTGTAGTTAAGAAATAATAGTTTAATATAAAAAAAGAATCATTAAAATCGAATTGCTAGTTTTGTTTTTATGGCTTATTAAGTTTGTCATAAATCATATTATATAAAATAGTCTAAAATAAAAATGACGTTATTTATGAATATTATATATTTTTTAGATGATATTTTCAAATATATTACTAATTCTGAAAACGAAATTTTAATAACTCGACTCGTTTTCGAAATAATCGAATTTCAATATAAATTATAATATCAAATTACAATAATGTGATTTATATTGAAATTCGATTATTTCGAAAACGAGTCGAGTTATTAAAATTTCGTTTTCAGAATTAGTAATATATTTGAAAATATCATCTAATAAACATATAATATTCATAAATTACGTCACTTTTATTTTACACTATTTTATATAATACGATTTATGACAAACTTAACAAGTCATAAAAACAAAACTAGCAATTCGATTTTGATGATTCTTTTTTTATATTAAACTATTATTTATTGACTACAAATTTTGCCTGTCATAATAAATTTATCAATTTTAGTTTGACCTGTAGCATAGTGTCTTTCGTTGGTCCCGATATTTTGTATATCTGGTCATCCTAGTTTTGTGATTGTGTGTATATTAAGTGTGGTTGATATGATATTTTTAAATGTATTTTACAGAATTAAATTATCTCTAACCGTTTAAAAGTTATTCAAAAAATACGCGGCTCAAGATCATTTGACTGGCTCTTTAGTAATCAATTATCTATATATATATATACAAAAATATTTATATATAGAAAACAATAAGTAGTTTTTTTGAATAATATTTTATTTATTTTTTATCAAATCTAAACATAATATATAAACTATATTAATATTAATAGTATTATTAAACTGTCATATTATTAAACAATTTACAATTAAAAAAAAAACTCAAAAACAAAACATACAAACAAATAAACATAAAAAACCTTACAAATGATAAAAACTACTATTAGTAGTAGTATATCATTGTTTATAAATATTCCCATATATTTATATATTACAATATAATAGATATAATTTATTTAAATATTTCTAATTATTATTAGCTTTTTTTAAAAATAAATAATTAAATAAAAATCATAGCATACTTGCGATTCAATGATAGTCTCAGATCATCGGTACAGGCGGTCGGCATACGGGGAAAGGCATACTTATTGGCGTCGTCCTCGTCCTCCTCCTCCTCCACATTATTATTATTATCACTTGTATTTATGACCACCGCTGCCGCTGCCGACGCCGCGGCCGCCGATATCGGAAACGACGGTGAGTCCGGGCATCGGTGCGACCACGAAGTGGTCAGAAATGCCTCGTAAATGGCAATCAATTTATTATCGTTTGAATCACAGCTAAGTTCCAGTCCTTTGTTAGCCCTTTCCTTTGGTACGCATACTTCGCGAGACTCTTCCGGAAATGCTATTCAATAGTAATAATAGTAATAATAATAATAATAATAATAATAAAACAAAAAAATAGATAAATAAAAAAAACAATTGTTTTGTTAGTAAATTATTTGATATCAATCTTTAAAATTATTATTTTTTTTTTTAGTTATATATTTATAAATCTATTAACTATAAACTGTTTGATTAAAAAGGCGTTGTTTTTAAAACAAAAATGTTATCTAATATATGATATATATAATACTTTTTTTTTTTAAAATTAATTAATAAATAAAAATCACACGCAATATGTTTTTTTTTCGGAGAGAGAAAGAGAGAGAGAGAGAGAGAGAGAGAGAGAGAGAGAGAGGAAGATATCAATAGCCGATAATATCAACAAAAAAAAGTCGTTTATTATACTATCAAAACTAACATAAGTTTTGTGTATATATAAACTATTTTAAAACAAAATATCATATATTAAATATAATCTCTCTCTCTCTCTCTCTCTCTCTCTCTCTCTGTATATATAAATAGCATATATATATATAATATCGTGTGAATAGTGTAATCAAATAATTGCATTATATAACTGGTTATATGTTTTATCATATATTTGAAATAAGTCTAACATAGCGTACAGATATTAAACAAAAAATATATTTTGAAAAAAATAAAACAAAATAAATGTTTGTCTAAATTGAAAGATAATCAGTTTTTTCTTTGAAAATAATAATAATAATAATAGACTTTAATTGTCTTTTATTTTGAAGATTGTTTAACTAAATTATTTTTTTTGATAACATTTTTTGAAATCTGTTTGGAAATCATAACAACAGCAAAAATAAAAATTTGAAAACTTTAAAACATTTTTATTTTATAGTCTATAATTATATTTATTTTATTTTTAATATATATATATATATTTTTATAAAACTTAAAGATTTTATGATAACACAAATGTGATTGTAATGTCTAATGTAGTAAAAAAAATAAAATAAAAATAAAACACATTTTTAAAAAGATTTATTTTGAAAAATAATTTTTGTTTAAACTATTTTTTGTTATGTTTTATTTGATAAGTAATAATCAATATTTACATAATAATAATAATTTTATTATAAATCTAGGATAAACTAATATTTATTAAACTACTTATATTAAATTATAGTTAAAGTAATTAAAAGTTAATTAAATTAACTTAATTACTTATGTCTAAATAAATAAATATATATATATATATATAACTTTGAATTAAGTGCCAAAAAATTTAATAATTTCAAGTTCAACAACAAAAATATTTTATTTTAAACAAATAATTATAATTTATTTTATTTTTTTTTTAAATAAAATCTAATTATAAGGTAATCACTATATATGGAGAGATAAAAACCATAACACAATGTTGTTGTATATGATATACCTGTATATAATGTATAATATATATATGTATATATATTATACATTATATACAGGTATATCTCATAATCATATATGAGTTTTACTTTAATTAACAATTACTGTACTGTACTGTATATTTGTTTAAAACAATTATCATAGAAATTGCCCTTAAAATTGTTTGCTACAAAAATATTATTATTATTATTATTATTTAGAAGTTTTGAATCATTGTTATAATAATAATAATATTATTATTATTAAAAAATTTAATACAATATACAGTACTTACAGATAATTAACATAAAATTGCAACAAAACAAAAATATTAATAATAATAATAATAATAATAATAGTTTTGTTTAAATCATTTGCAAATAAATGCAACTAATTATAAGTCACGATATATCCATTGCCCAGTAAACCATTTTTTGTAAACTTTTTGTTTGTTTGTTTGTTTTGTTGTGTTTTATGTTTTTTTCATTATTAAATACAGTATTAATAATACATACAACAAAAAAAATTTTAGATAAAAAATTGTTTGAATAATATATATATATTTTTGTTAAATAATTAATGAATGATAACATCATTTACTATAAATAGAAACAATTTTTATTTTATTTTTTTTGATTTTTATTTTTTATTTGTCGGCAATTTTACAAATAATATATATATATATATATTTATACAATAATCTAGATAATCTTTTTTTTAAAAAAAACATATATAACAATAACAATGAAAAATTATATTTATACAAAAAAAATTGTAGATTTTTTTTTGTTAACGAAATGAAAATCATGACATATTCAATGACATATATATATATATGATTTTATTATCAAACAAATAAACAGACAATATATATATATATATGAAAACTAATTATATATATATAAAGTTTATTTTTTTAAACAAACAAACAAAAATAAAATAAACACTACTATTGTATACAATTATAAAAAAAAATCTATGATATAATGTAAATACTGTACCAAAACTAATACTAAGTTAAATAGCCCATCCCTTTAATAATAATAATAATAAAAAGTTATTTAACGGCTAATTAAATATATTGAATTAAATTGTATTGCAAGTGTACTAATAGTATACAAATTATATATATATACAATATATGGTATATATTAAAACATTATATGACTAATAATAAACGATTATTTTGTGTATATATATATATATATATATTGTTGACTAACTTATAATTAATGTTAACAATAGGTTTATTATTATTAATTTTATTGTGTGTTTCATTAGACAATTTGTGGGAGTAATGAAACATTAGTTGTCTCTAATAATAACTATTGATATATATATATATAAACATGTAGTGTATGTTTCATATAACCATTAAGTTTGTATATACAATACAATTCATCACTAAAAAAATAAAACTTTTATATTCAGGATATCCTCTTATTGTAAATATTGTGATCATATATATATATCAAATATAATTCATTGTCAATAGATCCCCCAAATAATTGATTTTTTTTAACAAACTATATAAACAATGTATAGTACTATACTGTATATACATATAATAAAAAATATGTACTAAAAATCAATTAATTGTAAACCAATACTAATATTATTTTTTCTTGTTGTTATTGTATTGTAAAAAAATATAAAAAAAAGTTTTTAGAAATTTTGTTTAATAATACTTTATGATAAATGTATATCAAATAAATCACACACAAAAATAATAAAATATTGTTTAAAAAAAAAAAAACATTTCAACACATTGTATAATATGATACTTTTATGTTAATACTTTAGTATTCAAATGATTTTATTTTCAATATTATATAAATAAATGTTTAATAATGTTTAAAAATTATGTTGTAATATAAAACTATTTTAGATATAATTAATAATAAAATAAAAGTGTTTACAAATATTTTTGACATAAATTCAAATTATAAAAATTGAATTCATACAAATTATAAACTTATATTTATTTAAAAAAAAAAATTAAAAAATTAAAAAATAAATGTTAAACAATTGTCACCTGTACTATATTTTTTGTTTTACAGCATGTTTTTTAAATAATAATAAATTTATTTAATATTAAATAAATTTAAAATAACAATAATAATAATAACATATACTTGTCAAAATAAATCTATATTATCAACAACAAAAATGTGCTAAAAATAATAAATTCATATGAAATAACATATTTATTAGTCTATAATATTTATAACGTTTTATTGAAATTAATTATTTCAGTAATAAAAATTTTAATTAAATATTTATATTATATATATATAGCTATAAAAATGATAATAAAACCTTGTTTTTCAAAAAATTATAATAAATATTTATAATATTATACAATAAGTAAATTTTTTTTTTTAAAAATTCAAAATGTTTTAGATAAATATTATTTAGTGAAAAAAAATTGCTAATAAATTTCCAAAAACATAAAATTATATTAATTAAAATAATTAACTAATTAATAATTATTAAATAGTTAGATTTGGATTTAAATGTTATTCGCCACACAATTAAACCAAAACTAATAAAATACTCATTAATAATATTATTAAATATATATATTATATATTAATATATAATAATATATAAAATTGTTGACATAAATCATTTAGACTAATAAGATTACATTATATATATATATTTACTAAAAATAATTTATACATAAATATATTTAAATCCAATACAGACAGACACACACACACACATAAAAATACTTTAATATTTATTTATAGCAATCATAATAATCATAATAATAATAATAATCACATCACTAGTGTATTATAATCCTAGTGATGATGTATTTATTATTAATTAGGTATTTAAATATTAAAAATATTTAAATATTATAAGACTTACCCAATGATTGCATTGAATAGCAGGCAATCAGCGAAAGCAATGCTAGAATTGCTATAAAATTTTCATAAAATTTATGAATATTTATTACATTATAATTATTATTATTAAATATAATCGATTGGCGCCACAAATAATCCATAATTTATTTTAAAAATATATATATTTATGTATCTATCGGTTGACCCATAAATATCTGTATTATTATTATCACTAACATTATCATCATCATCATCATCGATGGTGACTACATAATAATAATAATTTTTTTAAGTATATATATATTTTTAAAAAAATTTAATCACAAATATATATATATATATATAATTATGACATGAATTTAGTTATACATTGAATACAAGAATCGCATTGAATTCAATACTAAATATATATATCAATAAATAAATAGATAGTTATCTCTCTATCTATATATATATATAACTGTATCTCTCTGTGTTAGTGTATGTTTTCACTGCACTGGTAGGTAATGGTAATACAGTATTGCTATATACATGAGTTTTACACTGTATTAAGCAATGAATTTCAATGCTATATGAAAATAAAATATACAGACAATCAAACAAACAAAAAATTTGTGTCCAAATCACATACAAACTGTACGCCCAGTTATAGTGACGTCAAACCAATGTATTGCCTAATATAGGGATTGTATTGTATTGTATACTAGAGTTGCCAAATAACACACACACACACACACATACATACATACATACATACATACATACACACACACACATACATACACACACACACACACACACACACACACATACATACACACACACACACACATACATACATACACACACATCATGTTTTACAGATAATAATTATGTTTTTTAAATTTAAATATAATTTACATAGTATATTTTAATCAAAAAACAATGCGTTTTTTATAAAAAAAATAATAAATTATATTGATAATTTATTTTATTGTTTTTAAAATAATATTTTATATCTAAAAAATTAATAAGCTAGCTAAAATATTAATAATAATTTTTATTGATATTGTTTAATTTACATAAAATCTACACTGTACATTTTAATCAAAATAACAATTTTTTAAAAATAAATAAATATTTTATATCTAAAAAATTAATAAGCTAGCTAGAAAATAATTATAATAATAATTTTTTTAATTAATTATTTTTAAAAAAAAATAAATAATTTACACTTGACAATATTTGTTTGTTTGTTTGTATTCAGCTATTATACTTAACAATAAATAATGTACCGTACAACAGTACAGTATAACTTATATACACATTACGCCCCCACCCACACCATCTATTGGGATTTTAAATTAAAATTATTTATTATTTTTTTTATTACTAGTAAAACTAAAACTAAACTAAACTGTATTTTTAATTTTAAAATGACAGCACATTTTTACACGTGTTTTTAGTTTTGTTTTTAATACTATATTTTTACTGTATATTTATTATGCAATTCCATAGTCTATACTATTGTTAACTATAGACTCTATAGACATAACAATAACACATGTGTTTGATGACAACAACAACAACAACAACAACATTGAACAACACGTTATTAAACCATCAATTGATCCCAACTTTAAGACTCTTTTGATTTTATTAGTAACTGATTGACGTCCCGACCGACCGACCGACCGACACATTCGACGGCCGAAATGGACGGCCAGTTTGACGACGCCGAAGACCCCGAAGATTATAATAATAGTAAAGTAGTTTACAATCAATTGTCTAAACAACTGAAGACTAGCAATGGTTATGAAGAAGACGAAGAAGAAGAAGAAGACGACGACGACTATGACTGGGATGACGACGACGACGAAGATATGATGACCACTAGAGGACACGTGTCGGCGGCGGCGGCGGTAAGCGCTGGCTATACGGGCAACAAGTTTGAGACAAACTCGAAACGATTGTCCCGTTTCGACAATCGTATCAATGAAGACAAATACCTGATTCCTGGCGGCAAAAGTCTTCAGATTATCCAACAAACTGAGCGCCGGATGACTGACGACAGGCGACGAGTTAAAGACAAATCGGATCGTCAGACACAGGAACAGGTGTTGGATCCGAAAACACGGATAATACTGTTTAAACTGATTAACCGACAGCTGATTCACGCAATCAACGGTGTCATCAGTACGGGTAAAGAAGCTAATGTCTATCACGCGACCAGTCCTCCCGATCCCGATAGTGACGGTAGTGGTGGTGGTCAGGATAAGGCCGTCAAAATCTATAAGACATCAATACTGACGTTCAAAGACCGGGATAAGTATGTTTCGGGCGAATTTCGTTTCCGTCACGGCTATTGTCGCCGTAATCCGAGAAAAATGGTCCGAACGTGGGCCGAAAAAGAGATGCGCAATTTGGCCCGTATTTATCAGTCGGGTATACCGTGTCCGCGGCCGTACTGTTTGCGTAGTCATGTATTGGTTATGGATTTTATCGGTACTAACGGTTTGCCGGCACCGCTACTCAAAGATGTCGATCTCAGCGAATCCCGAGCCCGTCAGCTATACCACGAATGTATTGTTATAATGCGTAAACTATTTACCGATTGCCGACTGGTTCACTCAGACCTAAGCGAATTTAATCTCCTGTACAACGATAGCCGACTGTATGTCATCGATGTCTCCCAATCGGTCGAATCGGATCATCCGCTGGCACTCGAGTTTCTCCGGAAAGATTGTGTCAATATTAACGATTTTTTTCGTAAAAAATCTGTACCAGTGATGACCACTCGCGAGTTGTTTGATTTTATAACCGATCCGAATATCGATGCCGACAATATGGACGACTATCTGGAAAAGGCTAAAGAGATTGCCGCCAATCGGACGACGACGACAACGACTGGATCGGCTGAATTGGATGACAATAATCACCAACAAGTGGACGACGAAGTATTCAAGAGTGTTTATATACCGCAACGATTGCGCGAAGTGGCTAACTATGAACGAGATGTACACAAAACGGATAAGTCAGAGATATACTATCAGACAATTACGGCGCTGAGACCCGATCTGAAGGGACCGACTTGTAAGCCAACTATTCTTGACAATGACGACGACAACGATGGCGTCGAAAATGGATCTCAAGTACGCGATGATAGCGACGATTCATCAGTGGATAATAAAATAGATAGTAAAGGACATGAAGATCAAGAAGAAGATGAAGAAGTGTCCGATAAAGTTGTTCCCAACTCTGCCCGACCTAAGGATGAGACGACTGAAGAGAAAAAGGTTTGTCTGACTATTTGTTTGATGACTACAGTAAATGATTAACCATTTTGTTTGTTTTGTATTTTCATCTGATTTTTTTAGTTACGAAAGAATGCCCTAAAAGAAGAAAAACGCGAAAAACGAAAGAATAAAATACCAAAACACGTGAAGAAACGTAAAGAACGGTTGGGAAAGAATCCGCAAAAAAATTGAGTATAAAAATCGGGTTTTTGTTTTCATTTTATTTTATTAAAAAATTTATAACTTTATTGCGATTAAAATAACTAAATATAATTAAATTATGTTTTTTTATCGGAAATTATTATTTTTTCTTCAAATGTTTCTTATTATGTCCTCTTCGGCTGTTTGTGTTTGCCGTCAGCAAATCGATTGGCTTTTTATTACGATTCTTGTTCTTAACGTTAGCCGTCTCATAGAAATGGACACCAATTTTCTTTGTTTTCGCCTCTCTGTCCAGTTTTCGGCGTTCCCTTGATTTCAACTGTTTTTTATTATTGTCGGCAGCGGTGGTGGTGTTGGCGGTGGCTGTTTGTTGTTGTTGTCGTCGTTTCAATTTTGAACTCTTGTTATTGTTTTTAGCCATCATTTTCTCCGATACTATGCTTTCATCGTTATTATCATCAATACTTTCGTCGTCATCGTCATCATTATTGTCCATATCTTCTTCATCGTCATCATCGCTATCCACTAGTTCATCCTCTTCAGCATCCGATTGAAACAGTTCATCGTCGGCGCCGTCTTCTCCTCCGTCTTCATCGTCCATATCTTGACTGTCTAATGGCCGGACATCATCGCCGGTAAACTCTAATTCGATTTCAACTTTCGATAGATCTTGTCTGACGTGCGGTCCGACTCCTACTACTACTCCTCCGGCAGTCATCGGCGGCTCTTTAGTGGCGTCACTGACAACAACATCATCATCGGTAGTGACGGTGGCGACCACAACATCATTAGTAGATCCATCAGTAGTAGTAGTAGTACTACTACTAACTAATTGTTTGCGATTATCCGGTTTATCGGTACCCTCCAGTACGGGTGGCTTAACAAAATAGGGCAACTTTCCTCTCTGGAAGTCATTCAGTATCATTTTGGCCACTGTATTGCAATCAGGTTCGCCACCTTTCAACAGTTTACCGGTTCGTTCGGCCATTTTTACCAGAAAATCTTCACAATCCAGCCATTCCTCGTCAATCTTATAGGTTTTCATCAGATATTCGCGTTTGACTCGTTCGAGTACTTCGGGTATATGATCTTCCGGGTCTTTGACATTCTCTACCCGTACAATACCTTTGAGTACAATATCCGTATCGGAATCACCTGATGGATGTACAACACCGGGACAGTCGATCAAATAGATACGTCTCATCAATGTTATGTATTGCCAGACTTTAGTTTCGCCGGCAATCGGTGCCACTTTGCATACCTTTTTCGACTTTAAGGTATTAATGATCGATGATTTACCGACATTCGGGTAACCAATAAAACCGACCGATATTTGTTTCTTATCGGAATGTAGTTTCGAAAATTGTCTTAAGAGGTTAATCATGGCTCCCTTACCGAACGGGTTTCTCAGCGATGCCCTGAAAGCCATTGTCGGATATTCCCGAGACAATTGGGTTACCCATCGTTGGGTAACCCAAACGGGTATTAAATCGCATTTGTTTAACACTAATACCAGATGTTTGTGCGGTTTTTCTTTCTGCAGATATTGTTCAATATGTTTAGATCGGGTACCCATCGGATCCCTTGAATCCAATACTTGGACAACAATATCGCTGGAGTCGATAACTTTATACAATTCATTCCATATACGTTTGGATGTACCCTTTTTCATGGCCAGATCCCTGACCACTGGCCTAACACCGCCGTCATCGACAACCAGATTCACATCCCTGGACTCGTCGTAACCCGCCTGTCGTTTATCCACTGCTACGGCCATCGATTCTAGACTATCGAACTTCATGTGCGGCCGTTTACGTTGCGATCGCCGACCGAATGTCTGGTCAAACGATTGGGTGTCCAGTATGTGAACCCGGGAATACTTGGCCCGTTCGTTCAGCAAAGTTATCGGCAATTTTGTCTGTTTCATAACTACCCGATACGGATCCCGTACGGCCCGACCCAGTTCTAGCTGAAACTTTTGCAACGCTTGCTGTGTAACCGTACGGGTATTGCCAAACCATTTCTGATTGGGCGCTATACGCGATACGGAACCGCTGGCCAATGTCGACTGAAATGGTGCCGCTTTGATGATTTTGCCGACCGAGTCGCGTACGGGTCGACCGTTTTTGTACATCAATAGCCGCTTGATTGTCGACTTGTCACGCAAGTGGGTATCGGTTGACGACCGCACCCGATCAACGTTCAGACTATGATTACCCGTACGAAAGCCTTCGCGCGGTCGGCCTTTGTTGGCCGCATCCGATCCTTTTCTACGTGTTTTGGCCATTGTTTTTGCTGTTTCGGGTCCACTAAAAAAAAACTAACTTTATTATAATTGTTGGTCTATTAGATGTATTAATAACTATTAATTAATTAATTAATTGATAGTTAAACTTACGGTACTATTGATTAGCGCGTGTATTATATGTTTATATATATATATATATATATATATAGTGTGTGTACTGTATATAAGTGTCAATACATTTAGTATAAAATGTTATTTAAACAACACATGGCATTCAAATGTACATAAATTACTATTATTTATATAAACAGTATTAATAGACTATTCAATGGCTAATATGTTTCATACATTACGTCTATGTGTCTCTATGTATGCATTTATATTAAGTAGTAATAGTAGTAATAGTAGTAGTAGTAGTAATAGTAGTAATAGTAGTAGTAGTAGTAGTAGTAGTAGTAGTAGTAGTTATAGTAGTAGTAGTAGTAGTAGTAGTAGTAGTTATAGTAGTAGTAGTTATAGTAGTAGTAGTTATAGTAGTAGTAGTTATAGTAGTAGTAGTAGTAATAGTAGTAGTAGTAGTTATAGTAGTAGTAGTAGTTATAGTAGTAGTAGTTATAGTAGTAGTAGTAGTAATAGTAGTAGTAGTTATAGTAGTAGTAGTTATAGTAGTAGTAGTTATAGTAGTAGTAGTTATAGTAGTAGTAGTTATAGTAGTAGTAGTTATAGTAGTAGTAGTTATAGTAGTAGTAGTAGTTATAGTAGTAGTAGTTATAGTAGTAGTAGTTATAGTAGTAGTAGTAGTTATAGTAGTAGTAGTTATAGTAGTAGTTTAATAATTTTTTTTAATAGATATAATCAAAATTTTAATATTTTATTAATAAATTAAAATTAATAAAAAAATTAAATGCTAGAAATTTGATTTAAAAAAATTTAATTTCACTAATTTCATAAATATTTAATTGTATTTAAAAAAAATAAACAAATAAATTAAATTACCAGTAAATATTACTATAGATTTATAGTATATATTTTTTTTTGTTTAAATTAAAAAAAACATTTACAAAATATCTAATTATACGGTTAAATGAAATTATTGCGAGAAATATATATATATATATATATCGGTTATTAGTTTACCGATAAAAATATAAACAACAAAACAAACAAACAAAAAAATCTGATATTTTAAAAAAAAAAAATTAAATTTGATTTTTAAAGTGTTTCTGAAGAATCTTATTGTACTTTTGGCCCCCATTTTTAAGGGCATGTCTTCGCCTGTATTCGCTGAACAAACTGTACATCTCTGGCCCTCTGTATGCTGGCTGTCACCCCGTACTACCAGTCCAGCCGAGTGGCCGGATATTTGGTCATAACTTTGTCGAGAATAGACGCCGCCGACGCCGACGACGACTTGTTTGCCGGGCGTATCGGTTATGGGTTTTTTAAATTTTGCCGATAATAGCTAAACAACGATCGATGGCCAATAACAGCACCGGACGGTAGTGCCAATTGCCAGTCACTGTCGTCGATATGCGGTATAACTACTTCATCGTCATCATTAATAATCATTATCAATGGCCAGTTGTCTGTTGCCATCAAAATCGGGATAACTTTTTTCTATACTAGTAGTGGTAGTGGTAGTAGTAGTAGTAGTAGTGTTAGTAGTGATGGCCATCATAATCATTATCAATGGCCAGTTGTCTACTGCCATCAAAATCGGGATAACTTTTTTCTATAGTAGTAGTGGTAGTGGTAGTAGTAGTAGTAGTAGTAGTAGTAGTAGTAGTAGTAGTAGTAGTAGTAGTAGTAGTAGTAGTGTTAGTAGTGATGACCATCATAATCATTATCAATGGCCAGTTGTCTACTGCCATCAAAATCGGGATAACTTTTTTCTATAGTAGTAGTGGTAATGGTAGTAGTAGTAGTAGTAGTAGTAGTAGTAGTAGTAGTAGTAGTAGTAGTAGTAGTAGTAGTAGTAGTAGTAGTAGTAGTAGTAGTAGTAGTAGTAGTAGTAGTAGTGATGGCCATCATAATCATTATCAATGGCCAGTTGTCTACTGCCATCAAAATCGGGATAACTTTTTTCTATAGTAGTAGTGGTAGTGGTAGTAGTAGTAGTAGTAGTAGTAGTAGTAGTAGTAGTAGTAGTAGTAGTAGTAGTGTTAGTAGTGATGGCCATCATAATCATTATCAATGGCCAGTTGTCTACTGCCATCAAAATCGGGATAACTTTTTTCTATAGTAGTAGTGGTAGTGGTAGTAGTAGTAGTAGTAGTAGTAGTAGTAGTAGTAGTAGTAGTAGTAGTAGTAGTAGTGTTAGTAGTGATGGCCATCATAATCATTATCAATGGCCAGTTGTCTACTGATAACTTTTTATATATATATAGTCATAGATCTGGGAATATTCGGGTAAATAGCGGGTCGAATGATTTAGGTTTGGTATGTCCTCTGTATTGCATATATGCTGTTGAGCCGATCGTACCACTACTACCACTACTACCACTACTACCACTACTACCACTACTACCACTACTACCACTACTACCACTACTACCACTACTACCACTACTACCACTACTACCACTACTACCACTACTACCACTACTACCACTACTACCACTACTACCACTACTACCACTACTACCACTACTACCACTACTACCACTACTACCACTACTACCACTACTACCACTACTACCACTACTACCACTACTACCACTACTACCACTACTACCACTACTACCACTACTACCACTACTACCACTACTACCACTACTACCACTACTACCACTACTACCACTACTACCACTACTACCACTACTACCACTACTACCACTACTACCACTACTACCACTACTACCACTACTACCACTACTACCACTACTACCACTACTACCACTACTACCACTACTACCACTACTACCACTACTACCACTACTACCACTACTACCACTACTACCACTACTACCACTACTACCACTACTACCACTACTACCACTACTACCACTACTACCACTACTACCACTACTACCACTACTACCACTACTACCACTACTACCACTACTACCACTACTACCACTACTACCACTACTACCACTACTACCACTACTACCACTACTACCACTACTACCACTACTACCACTACTACCACTACTACCACTACTACCACTACTACCACTACTACCACTACTACCACTACTACCACTACTACCACTACTACCACTACTACCACTACTACCACTACTACCACTACTACCACTACTACCACTACTACCATGTTTTTATTTTAATTTATTGTAAGATAACTATTTTATAAAAAAAATTTACATAATATAATAGATTATTCAAATTATTCAACTAAAAAATTTAAACAAATTATAAAAAAAGTTTTAATATTAATAATTATTATTTAAAAACAATTCAATTATTATAAAATTACTATTATTTTAGATTTTAGTTTATAATAATTATTATTTAATTAATTAATTAATTAAAAAAATAAGTTCATATATATATATATATATTCTCAAATAAATATAGCAACTATAAATTGTTATATAATGAAAATCATAATTAAAATTATTAATAAATATATATATAAATTATATATATATATATACAGTATATATATATATATATATATATATATATAAATATATAGATAATTTAATTAATTAATTAATTAATCTGACCAATGACATTCATTTTGGTTAGTAATGTCAACGTGTGTGCATAGCTTTTTAGGTGGACAGTCGCTATCTTCATTACATTCATCAGCTGATTGGACAGTAGTTGTCAAACATGACATATAGACATAGATAACTATCATCATCATCAACGACATCAATGACCACCACAACATCGACAAACAGCGCTTAGTTGGTGGTAGAGCACCGGTAGTAGTAGTAGACTTATTATAGTACATCAGTAAAAAAAATTGGATTTTTAATCTAAAAATTTATTTTTATTTTTAAAAAAATCAAACAGTTAAATATTTAGAAATATATAAATAGTATTTTTTTTAAAAAAAATAAAAATTTTATCTACTAATATACTTTTTTTTGTTATGTAAAAAATTTCATTGAACAACTATAACAATTCTAACTATAGCTATTAAAAATAAAATAAATAGTAATACCATATATTTATATGTTTGTAAAATATTTATATATATATAGTTATTGACGTAAAATACATTTATTAAATTAAAATTATAAATATATTTCTATAAATAAATATAAAAAACAACAGTATTAATTACAAAAAAAATAACATTTATAAAATACTATATAAATTAAATTTTAATTTTTTTTAAAAATTAGTAAATATTTAAAAAATTAAAATAATAAAACTAATAGTTTAATATTCTAACTTAATATACTAATCTATTAGTTGTTTTAATTAAGCAATTTTTACAATCGAATTTAAAAGATAAAAAGTTTATTTAATTGATTAAATAAAAAATCTTTTTTATTATACTTAAAAATTAATAAATTTAAAACTATTAAATAGTTAATAATAAATAAAATATTAGTTTGTTTATTTTAATTTATTGTAAGATTTTAAAAAATACATAATATAATTGATTATTATAATTATTCAACAACAAAAAAAGTTTTAAATTTATCGTTAATAATAATAATAATAATAATTATTTTTTTCTAAAAAATAATACAACATATCAGTTCAATATTATTACTATTGCTATTATTTTAAGATATTTTAGTTTATAATAATAATAATAATAATAATAATAATAATTATTATTATTATTATTTAAAAAAAGCTTTTAATTAATTAACAATGTTTTTAAAAATTATAGTAAAATTTTAATTAAAATTTAATTAATCTGAAGGAAGGCAATAATTAGTGTCATCATAGTCATTTAATGCGCATAGCTGTTTAGGTGGACAATCATTATCATATCTACACTCATGATTAGCTGATTGGACAGTAGTTGTCAAGCATGACATCACAGACACAGTGACTATCAACATCAGTGACCACCAAAACATAGACCGACAGCGCTTAGTTGGTGGTAGAGCACAGGTAGTAATAGTAGACTTATTATAGTACATCATCAGTTAAAAAAAATCTAAAAATTTATAATAAAAAACATATATATATATATATATATCGATTTTTTAAAAAAAATAATTATAAAAATAAATAATATAAAAATCGTGTTATACA